AAAACATATAATTTCTTTTGCTGTGATCCAGCTGTTTGACACCTTTATGTACTTTTCTCCGTGTTCATGCATCATTTTTTGTTTTCTTCTGACCTGCATTTGAATTCACTAATTCACTCTTCATATTTGTCTAATCCTATGTTAAGCCCATGCGTTGAGTTCTTAATTACACTTATTTTATATTTCAATTTTATAATTTCTTTGTAGTTTTTAATATAGCTTTTAGTTCCCTGCCAGAATTCTCTATCTTGTCATTTAATTGTTGAACTTCTTTAATTAAGTTAACATTTATATCAGCCTTAATTTCTAGACCTCCTGTGGCTCTCTTTGTCTTGTCTGTTTTTTTCTCTTATTTTTTGGTAAAATCTTTTCTTACACACGTTTTTTTGTTTTGTTTTGTTTTGTTTTTGTTTTTGTTTTTTAAAGAGAGCACAAGCAGGGGGAACAGCAGGCAGAGGGACAAGCAGGCTCCCCGCTGAGCAAGGAGCCCGATGCGGGACTTGATCCCAGGACCCTGGGATCACGACCCGAGCCGAAGGTAGACTCTTAACTGACTGAGCCACCCAGGCACCCACACATGTTATTTTTGATTGCATGGTAGACTTTGCATATGAAAAATGTTACAGATAATTTGAGGACCTGAATGATTTTGTAATTCTTCTGGAGACAACTTACTTTTCCTTCTGACAGGTTGTGGAGCTATTGTCAGATCAGTTTGGTCCAGGCAAGAATGCACTGACTGGAAGCTGGGCTTCAGTTTTTGATAGGCTGATTCTTTTTCTGGTCACCTTATGTGTAGGGTATATTTGTTAGGGAGCCACCCGGAACTCAAGGGTGTTTAACAGGGACTCTGTTCTTTATTGGGCCCAGAATTCCAATTTTTTTCCTTCCTGCTCTGTGACAGTGATGAAAACATTACTCAACCTGTAAGTCTCTTTCACTTTCAGAATCAGTTATTGTTTGTATGAGAAAAGCAATCCTAGGACCAAACTCAAATCTTGATTTGTCTCCTCTTTTGAAACGTTGCCCTGCAAATTCTCACTGCTTTGGTAGCTTTTTTATCACCTTCACATTGATTTTTAAAAAGATCTTTTATCCAGCCTTTCCATTTGTTCCAATGGAAGATAGGTTCAAAAAACCTAATTAGCTCTTGCCAGAACAGAACTTTCACCTCTTTTAACCCATTAATTTGTCTTATTTTAATGTTGTATTTGATATGTATAAAGGAATATATATTTAACATTTGTGTAACTTGTTTTATAATAATACAGTGAACATTTACGAACTGTCAGCTCCTGGTTTATTACTTTCCAAACTTTTCTTTTTGTTTCTTCTCGGCCCCAGGTAACTACTGTGTTGAATTGGGATTTATTATTCCCTAACTAGAACAGAACACCACTTTAGCACATATATGTCTCTGAGTAGCATACTTGTTTAATTTTGCTTATTCTTGAGGTTTATGAGTTATACCATACATATTCTTGGCTGACTTGCCTTTATCATTACACATTTGTTTCTTAGAATAACCCTCCCTTGTTATTGCATCTAGCTGTGTGTGATTCATTACTCTGTATTATATATCACTGTGTGAAATTTCTTATATTTATTCTCTTTGTGGACATTTGGAATATTTCCATTTCTTTCCTCTTTAGAACAGTGCTCCTGTGAAGGTTCTTAGAGAGGCCTCATGATGCAAATGAGCAAGAATTTCTCTAGGTTATATTTATACGAGTGAAATTGATGAATAACAGTGTCTACACACATTTAACTTTTCGTTTTATTCCTGAATTACTTGTCAAAATCATTGCTAAAACTTATTTTTTTATTAGCAGTATATTGTACCCATTAGTGTCAGATCTTTTAATTTTTGCCCATCTAAAAGTTGGAAAATAGTGTCTCATTAGAGTCTTAATTTTTTTTTTTTTTAAAGATTTTATTTATTTATTTGACAGAGAGAGAGATAGCGAGAGCAGGAACACAAGTGGCGGGGGGGAGTGGGAGAGGGAGAAGCAGGCTTCCCGCCAAGCAAGGAGCCCGATGCGGGGCTCGATCCCAGGACCCTGGGATCATGACCTGAGCCGAAGGCAGACGCTTAATGACTGAGCCACCCAGGCGCCCCTCATTATAGTCTTAATTTGCATTTCTCTGGTTACTGATTTTTTATGTCTAGTCACCATTCATGTTGCCTCTTTATGAAATTCCTTTTGAGGTCTTTTGCCTTTTTTTCCCGAGCTTTTTGTCTTTTCCTCATAGGTAATCTTTACACACATTAATACTTTTTCAGGTATATGTTGCAATATCTTCATAAAAGATGAATAAAAATCTCATTTATGGTGTGTCTTTATACTCCTTTTATGGTGTCCTTTGAACAAAAGTTATTAATTTTAACGTAGCTAAATTTATCATTCCTTTCTTTTGTAGTTAGTGCTTTTTACATCCTTAAGAAATCCTTCCCTACTCTAGTGTCATAAAAATAGTCTCCCATATGTTCTAAAAGTTTTAAGATTTTCTTTTCACACTTAAAAAATTTAATCCATCTGGAATTGATTTGTTTGTTTGTATGCTATAACTTAAGGATTTCATTTCTTTTTACTTCCCATAGGACAACCAAATTTCCCATCAAAAGTTATTGAGTAACCTCTTTCTTTCAGTCCTCTGCATTGTTACCAGTTATAGGGTGTATAGCCTCTGTTCTTTACCATTGCTTTGTTTGCTCATCTACAGGATGTCTTTCATTAAAGTTTTGTAATTTTCTTTGTAAAGAAAATTTAAAATTTTTCTTGTACAACTTTGCTAGGTACTTTGATTTTTTAAATTACATTTTTATGTTTGTGGTTGATTTGGAGAATTATTTTATAGTTTTGATCTTCTATTCATCTTTCTTGCTAAACTTTTTTCTCCTTATTTTTAATTATTTCTGAAGAATGCCATTTTGGGGATGCCTGGGTGATGCAGTTGGTTGAGTTTCCAACTCTTGGTTTCGGCTCAGGTCATGATCTCAGGGTCGTGGTGTCGTGCCCCACGTCAGGCTCTGCACTCAAGCAGTAGCTGAGTTACCTGAGTTGCTAGGCTATGGTATCGAACCCCGCATCGGGGATTCTGCTTGAGACTCTCTCTCCATCTCTCTCTGCCCCTGCCCCCAACACATGCACACACGTGTTCTCTCTCTCTCTCTCTAAACTAAAATAAATAAATCTTTTTAAAAAGAGAATGCCAGTTTTGATTATTTTCTAATCCTTGAATATTTTATCTCTATATTAATTTCCTTATATTTCTATATGTGCTTCCTCTACTTACCATTTTTTCATCTCAACTTCATCTATCAGTTTTTTTGGAAGTGGTATAGTCAAGTCTTCTGTGGTAGTGAAGTTTTCTATCTTTACTCTTTTTTTTAATCATTTTTGTTTTGATTTATTTTGATATTCTTCTGCTGGTTGTCCAAATGTTCATGAATTTTATATCTTATTGTGTAAGATTTAAAAAAATACTTCAATATCCTGTTAATTAAATCCATATTCCGTTTCATGTTTTTTATCTTGACTAGTATATTTTTTCATCCTATTATTTTTAGATTTTCTGTCATTGGTTTTGTTGCATCTGTTTTGGTTTTATATTATTATTTTTGAACCATCTGACAGTCTGTTGGTTTTATTTATAATAACTTTTTCTATTTTGTAATATATGCTGATTGAATTTTTTCTTATGAATTAAATATTTTAGTGGAGTATATCTTTGAATAATCCTTTCAAAATGGCTTATAATTTGGAAACTTTCTCTCTGTCCTAGCTTGCTAAAAATATTTTTTTTTCCTTATTCTTGAGTACTAGAATCCTGTGTTTCAGGGTACTTGGCTGCAGAAAATCCAGAACATTGTTTTTTGGCATCTAGTCTTGCAGCTGAGAATCTGAAGTTGATCTGATTCTTGCTTCTTTTTTGGAAGGTTTCCCCATGGAATCTTTCAGGATCTTTTTAATATACTTAGTTCAGAAATTTCATCAGAACATTTCTAATGTGATTGCTTTTTCATTATTTCCACTTTTTACTTCGAAGGCAGTTCTGAAAGGAAGTGCATCCTAAGCTATATGTGTTTCATGAGTTTGCCTTCTGGATGTTGGGGCTTCCTATCCTGTTGCCAGAGGGTTACCTGAGCTGCTATTTGATTTGTTTCCTAGATTGCCTCTGGAAATCACTCCTGTCAGCTGGCGGTAACACTGGATCTCCAGTGTTCCAAGATTGGGTTCAGCTCTTTTGTCACCTTACTTTGATTTCCTGGCTGCCACTGTAAATGTACATCTTGAAATCCCTGCCCTCTATCATCTCAGGATTATTCTGTGATTGTGCTGAAAAAAAAAAAAAATCTAACTTTTTTGGAGGATGTTTCCCTTCTGTGCTTTTTATGGAGATATAAACCTAGCCCTGTTAATATTTTTACTGTATATTTTGTGTTTTAAAATTTTTTCTAAAGATTCTGGTCTTCTTTTTGGACCTTTTTGTTTTCCAACCCTCTGTGTGTGTGTGTGTGTGTGTGTGTGTTGCCATTTTGGTGGGAATTAGGTAGGAAGATACTAGTGCATATTCTTTCTTACCTACAGTCAACTGCAAACCTTTCTAATTTTTCTTCTGCTCAAGATATTTTGTATATACCTTTTTCCTTGTTTAAGAACTATGCTTTTTGTCTGTATTGATTTTTATCCTACTCCTTGCCAGCCACCTTAAATAATTGAATCGTTATTTTCAAAGGCTAAGTTAGGAAGTATATATAAGAGGTTAAAGTCAGTCCTACCTCACACCTGAAAAGAACCAACTGCTGATGGATGTGTAAGTGCTTTATGTGGGTGCTAGCGAAGATAAGTCTTTGAACCTTTTTGAGAAATAGATGAGGTATTTTAGTCATCTGTAATGACTGTCACTGCAGAAGGTAAAGATTTCATTCATTCACTAAAAATTAATTAAAGATGAAAATTCTTATTTATGTTTTAAAGTTCTTCATTTTTGTTCAGCTCCCAGGAAAAAAGACAACTAAGCTTTGGGTTCCAGATGAAGAAGTTTCTCCTGAGACAATGGTCAAAGTGAGTGATATGCATATAGATCTATTTATTTTAATACACTCATTAGATTGTATTATCATTAAAGGTGTTAAAATTTCTATTCCTGTTATAAAGATATGGCTATTAAAATCATCCGAGTTTTTATATTTATTGTACGACATCATCCCATGTACTCTGAGAGTATAGGGCAATAATGAGAAACCTGGGGCCCTATGGGCAGTTGCACATAATCTGATTTGGGGGAAAAAAAAGTGTTTGAAACTGCCTCTGTGTTGCTGCTTCTTAGTTATCAACCTTTTAATGGCAAAAGACATTTCTGATTTTCTTGTGTGCATCTCCTGTTCAGCAAAGATGGTCATCTAGGTTTTAAGACTATTTATCTTTTCCGTGGAATTTGATAAAACTTTTTATTTTGATTTTTAAAAAGTTCAACCTGTTATTCCTTGAATTACAAGTAATACATAAAAGACGGCTTATTGCTAGTGTAGAGAGTATTGATTTACTAAAATGATCTACAGTCTCTGACGTAGATCTCATTTCAATCCACTGTCCAAGGTGTGTAGGCCAGGAACAAATATATTAAATACTGTTTTTCTAGTTGTAGTTTCGTGTAAATCCATTCATATTGTGTATGTATGTGTATACTGGTTTATATTTTATATTAGGAAATACTTTGTCATGTTATTCCAGCTTCAGATTCTAATACTGTTTCTGTAGACCTATAGAGTAGCTGATGGAATGATGCTTGATGCTTCTGAGTTCCAGCATAAACCTGTTTTCTCAGCATTGGTATCAAGCAGCAGTTTTGTTTAGTCAAGCAGCACTGGACTAGAAGGCAGGCTTCCTGCAGTTAAGCTCATGCTTAACAAATGGCCCAGAAAAGGGATCTGAAGAGTGTCTGCCACATGCCATTGTTCAAGACCCACTTAGCTCCTGAGCCATAGATCTGTAAAAAGCTAAAATAATATGTGAAAAAGAGGTAATATGCACCCCATCAAAAAGAGTTGTTGGAAATATGAGAGGCAATAACAGGGTTTGAAGTACTTAAGTACTTCGTAATTATAAAATGTAGCACAAAAAATGGGAATATAATTTGCAGTTGGGAAATTAAGTTTTCTGACCAGGGAAGTTAACATGATTTTACTGTGAGTTTAAAGAATAGAGTTTATGATGGGGAAACAAAAAAAAAAGAACCAGTCTTTAGTTAAATCATTCATTTGTCAGTTGCCTGGGTGGGAGGGTAAAACATCTTTAAGACATCCAGTTATCTTGATATATGCAGAAAAGAATGATTCTTTTTTCCTTTACTTTTCTTAAAAAGCATCCATTAAAACCATTTCACTTTTTTTAAGGTTGATACAGAATTTCTTTAAAATGTAGTAATGTTGTATTTGTCAATTTGTCTTTTGAATAGATTCAGGCTATTAAAATGATGGTTCGATGGCTCCTTGGAATGAAAAATAATCACAGTAAATCAGGAACATCTACCTTAAGATTGTTAACTACAATATTGCATAGTGATGGAGACTTGACAGAACAGGGAAAAATTAGGTATGTAATTATTATTTCAAAATTCTTGTACACTACCTCAGTATCTGGTATAATTGTTTAATGGTGCAGTTTCTTTTTAAGAAAGTAGCTAGTTGAACACTACATCAAAAACTAATGATGTGCTATACGTTGGCTATAATTGAACATAATAAAAAAAAGTAAAAAATTAAAAAAAATAAAATACAAAAAAGTAGTTAGTATTCCTATGTATGTGTGCATATATTTTTATTGTAATATGCTTTTGTACAGTGATCATTTCAAAATGGCAGTCATATGTCAGAGGCAGGGTATTGCTATATATTGTAAATATTTTTAAACAACAGATGTTTACTTTTTCGAATATCTAATGTGTGAAAATGGTTAGTAACTTATTAGTAACTGATGTTTTCCATTCTTGTTAATGTCTAAAGGAAAAAGAACACACTAGGTAGAAGACAACTTACTGAATCTATTTCCAGAAGTAGAAATATATGCAAACTTAAAAATGTACTAGATGTAAATTATATAAACGCATGCACTTTGTTTTGTTTGAAAGATGTGGTTTAGTATGGTGATTGAAAAAGTGGACCCTGGAGCCTGGATTCAAATCCTCACACCACCATTTACCAGCGAATTACTTTAACCTCCTTATGTGTCAGTTTCTTCATTTATAAAATAGAGATAATGATTATACTTATCTTGTCTAGCTATTATAATTAAATTAGTCATTATTTATGGGCTTATTTAGATCTCATCTCACCTGTTTTTATTCATGTTATTCTTAAATGAAATCAAATGTGTATTTGAATTCTGCAAATATATGTGAATTACATTAGTTCACTTTTAAAACAAGTTTTTATATAGAAATTCAGTCTTCAAAAACTTAGTTGTAAAATATTTAATTTAATTATTTATCTTTATACAAAATAAGCTCCAGTAAGAAAAGTGGTGGTTGATATAATAGCCACTTGGAATATTGCTGTTGATGCACTGAATACAGAACCTTATAAATGTTGGCATGCATTCAGTCAGTATTTTTACATGATCCTTAGAAAGTTAAGGGGGGGTTGGGGTACCTGGGTGGCTCAGTCGTTAACCATCTGCCTTCGGCTCAGGTCATGATCCCAGCGTCCTGGGATTGAGCCCCGCATTGGGCTCCCTGCTCTGCGGGAGGTCTACTTCTCCCTCTGCCACTCCCCCTGCTTGTGTTCCCTCTCTCGCTGTGTCTCTCTCTGTCAAATAAATAAATAAAATCTTTAAAAAAAAAAAAAAAAAGAAAGAAAAAAGAAAGTTAAGGGGGGATTCTTAAATCAATTCAATCATTAGATTTTAGAAGACCAAGAGTGTGTCTTTTATGTCACTCTCAGTGCTTGCTGTATATACGGTAGACACATACTTGTTTCATGAATATTGAATCTTTTACTGTGGAAGAACATAGGGGGCACTAGTTAAGAAGTTACAACTTTCCCTCCTTTTCAGTCTGAAATCCCTGTAATTTATCTAATATATCACTATATATAAGGAAGGATTGTTCAGATGTATTTATTAGTTAAGAGTTTACTAATCTTTGAGGTGTGTCCTATTCAGCAGAAGTTTTCTTAAATTTAAAAGGAGCTTCTTGGTAATATTTGAAAAGTTGAATTCTAACTAAAAATTGTGATGTTTTCACTACACCTGCTTTCATTCTTCTTTTGTACTTAGCACATTAGTTTTAGTTGACTTGATTAACAAGTTAGGACATTTTTGTACCTAATCTGTAAGTAAACACATATCCATAAAAAATCCATAGTGGAAGACTTTAGACCCAATAACTAAACATACAAATAGATTTGTTCTAAGCTTCGCTAAAAGCTGGTTTGTGTAGGATGAGGGAATTAAATGACTTTAGAATAGAGAAGAGTTTTGTAGTATTAGACACCATCTTCCAAAGTTAAGTAAACATAATAGGGTGTTCATTATCACTAAATTGTGCTCCATCCTTTTTTTGGCCACAGGAATTTTTACAAAATTAGGTATAGCAAGTAGAAATGTTTTTGTGTAAACATTTAGAACTCTAACTTTCTTTCTTGCTTATTTTTTAGTAAACCAGATATGTCACGTCTGAGACTTGCTGCTGGGAGTGCTATTGTGAAGCTGGCACAAGAACCTTGTTATCATGAAATCATCACATTAGAACAGTATCAGCTCTGCGCATTAGCTATCAATGTAAGGAAGATGGCCAAATAGATTATGACTTTATATGGTCTTTGACTTTTAGGAAGAAAAAAGTCCACCATGATGGTAGAGAGAAAAGTCTTGAATTGTCTCCTTTTGGAAAATGTATTCATGAGAAATGTTTCAGAGTTCTAAAACTGTTGTTTGATTTTTGGGTTGCTAACATAGTACATTTGATTCTTGTTATTTGTAGTAGTTCTTTTCTACAGAGTCACCCCAATCACTGAATTAGCAAATACTGAACCATTGCTTTTAAGGAAAATATACGGGTGGTTTCTCCAAGCCTCTGGTCACATTTTTGTCAGTCTGTCAGTACATAATTTAAAGATAAATTATTTAATATATAGTCGTGTCATTAACATTGAACTCATGACCAACAGAGCTGTAACTCATGCCTCAGTGAAGCTTCACTAACATACTTTCTTCCTAAGTCACATCACAACCTTCTTGCTTTTAGGAACACTAAACAGCACTATGCTTGGGAGCTATTTTAAACAACAAAATCACCAACAAATGCACAAAAACACAAAAAATGTGGAACTAAATAGACTGTCAAAAGGACAGTAGTTTCTAAATATGAGAGCTGACATAACAGGCAAAGCATTGCTTTGTTCAGCTTCAGCTGGGACATGGGTCAGATGATTCAGATTGTTTGTTGCTCTGCTCATGTACTCACCAGTGACCCTGAAAATGCTTCAAGCATTGATTTTGGGGTTACAAATAAATTTTAGTGAGTAGGTGAATTCACAGATTTGGAATGTTTGTAAATAATGAGGACTTGAATGTATTTAGTTCTTTTTATTTTGTTGATCACCATACATTACATCATTAGTTCTTGATGCAGTGTTCCATGATTCATCCTTTGCGTATAACACCCAAGTGCTCCGTGCAGTACGTGCCCTCTTTAATACCCATCACCAGGCTAACCCGTCCCCTCACCCCCCTCCCTTCTAGAACCCTCACTTTGTTTCTCAGAGTCCATTGTCTCATGGTTCGTCTGATTTACCCCACTTCATTCTTCCCTTCCTGCTATCTTCTTTTTTTTTTTTTTTAACATGTAATGTACTATTTGTTTCAGAGGTACAGGTCTGTGATTCAGCAGTCTTACACAATTCACAACACTCACCATAGCACATACCCTCCCCAATGTCTATCACCCAGCCACCCCATCCCTCCCACCCCCCACCACTCCAGCAACCCTCAGTTTGTTTCCTGAGATTAAGAATTCCTCATATCAGTGAGGTCATATGATACATGTCTTTCTCTGATTGACTTATTTCGCTCAGCATAACACTCTCCAGTTCTATCCACGTCATTGCAAATGGCAAGATTTCATTCCTTTTCATGGCTGCATAATATTCCTGTGTGTGTGTGTGTGTGTGTGTGTGTGTGTGTGTATACAGCACATCTTCTTTATCCATTCATCTGTCAGTGGACATCTTGGCTCTTTCCATAGTTTGACTATTGTGGACATTGCTGCTATAAACATTGGGGTGCACGTACCCCTTCAGATCCCTACATTTGTATCTTTGGGGTAAATACCCACTAGTGCAGTTGCTGGATTGTATGGTAGCTCTATTTTCAACTTTTTGAGGAACCTCCATACTGTTTTCCAGAGTGGCTGCCCCAGCGTGCATTCCCACCAACAGTGTAGGAGGGTTCCCCTTTCTCTGCATCCCCGTCAACATCTGTCGTTTCCTGACTTGTTAATTTTAGCCATTCTGACTGGTGTGAGGTGGTATCTCATTGAGGTTTTGATTTGGATTTCCTTGATGCCAAGCAATGTTGAGCACTTTTTCATGTGATATGATGTCTTTTGGATGTCTTCTTTGGAAAAATGTCTGTTCATGTCTTCTGCCCATTTCTTGATTGGTTATTTGTTCTTTGGGTGTTGAGTTTGCTATAAGTTCTTCATAGATTTTGGATACTAGCCCTTTATCTGATACGTCATTTGCAAGTATCTTCTTCCATTCTGTTGGTTGTCTTTTGGTTTTGTTGACTGTTTATCTTGCTGTGCAAAAGCTTTTTATCTTGATGAAGTCCCGGTAGTTCATTTTTGCCCTTGCTTCCCTTGCCTTTGGCAATGTTTCTAGGAAGAAGTTGCTGCGGCTGAGGTCGAAGAGGTTGCTGCCTGTGTTCTCCTTTAGGATTTTGATGGACTCCTGTCTCACATTGAGGTCTTTCAACCATTTTGAGTCTATTTTTGTGTGTGGTGTAAGGAAATGGTCCACTTTTATTCTTCTGCATGTGGCTGTTCAGTTTTCCCAACACCATTTGTTGAAGAGACTGTCTTTTTTCCATTGGACATTCTTTCCTGCTTTGTCGAAGATTAGTTGACCATAGAGTTGAGGGTCCATTTCTGGGCTTTCTATTCTGTTCCATTGATCTATGTGTCTGTTTTTGTGCCAGTACCGTACTGTCTTGATGATGACAGCTTTGTAATAGAGCTTGAAGTCCGGAATTGTGATGCCACCAGCTTTGCTTTTCTTTTTCAACATTCCTCTGGCTATTCAGGGTCTTTTTGGTTCCATACAAATTTTAGGATTATTTGTTCCATTTCTTTGAAAAAAGTGGATGGTATTTTGATGGGGATTGCATTGAATGTGTAGATTGCTCTAGGTAGCATTGACATCTTCACAATATTTGTTCTTCCAATCCATGAGCATGGAACGTTTTTCCCTTTCTTCGTGTCTTCCTCAATTTCTTTCATGAGTATTCTATAGTTTTCTGAGTACAGATTCTTTGCCTCTTTGGTTAGATTTATTCCTAGGTATCGTATGTTTTTGGGCGCAATTGTAAATGGGATAGACTCCTTAATTTCTCTTTCTTGTCTTGTTGTTGGTGTATAGAAATGCAACTGATTTTTGTGCATTGATTTTATATCCTGCCACTTCACTGAATTTCTGTATGAGTTCTAACAGTTTTGGGGTGGAGTCCTTTGGGTTTTCCACATAAAGTATCATATCATCTGCAAAGAGTGAGAGTTTGACTTCTTCTTTGCCGATTTGGATGCCTTTTATTTCTTTTTGTTGTCTGATTGCTGTGGCTAGGAATTCTAATACTGTGTTGAGTAGCAGTGGTGATAGTGGACATCCCTGCCGCGTTCCTGGCCTTAGGGGGAAAGTTCTCAGTTTTTCCCCATTGAGAATGATAAATTCGCTGTGGGTTTTTCATAGATGGCTTTTATGATATTGAGGTATGTACCCTCTATGCCTATACTCTGAAGAGTTTTGATCAAGAAAGGATGCTGTACTTTTTCAAATGCTTTTTCTGCATCTATTGAGAGGATCATATGATTCTTGTTCTTTCTTTTGTTAATGTATTGTATCACATTGATTAATTTGTGGATGTTGAACCAACCTTGCAGCCCAGGGATAAATCCCACTTGGTCGTGGTGAATAATCCTTTTAATGTACTGTTGGATCCTGTTGGCTAGTATTTTGGTGAGAATTTTTGCATCCATGTTCATCAGGGATATTGGTCTGTAATTCTCCTTTTGGATGGGGTCTTTGTCTGGTTTTGGGATCAAGGTAATGCTGGCCTCATAAAATGAGTTTGGAAGTTTTCCTTCCATTTCTATTTTTTGGAACAGTTTCAGAAGAATAGGTATTAATTCTTCTTGAAATGTTTGGTAGAATTCCCGTGGGAAGCCATCTGGCCCTGGGCTTTTGTTTTTTGGGAGATTTTTGATGACTGCTTCAATTTCCTTAGTGGTTATAGGTCTGTTCAGGTTTTCTATTTCTTCCTGGTTCAGTTTTGGTAGTTGATACATCTCTAGGAATGCATCCATTTCTTCCAGGTTATCTAATTTGCTGGCATAGAGTTGCTCATAATATGTTCTTATAATTGTTTGTATTTCCTTGGTGTTGGTTGTGATCTCTCCTCTTTCATTCATGATTTTGTTGATTTGGGTCCTTTCTCTTTTCTTTTTGATAAGTCTGGCCAGGGGTTTATCAATCTTGTTAATTCTTTCAAAGAACCAGCTCCTAGTTTCGTTGATCTGTTCTACTGTTCTTTTGGTTTCTATTTCATTGATTTCTGCTCTGATCTTTATTATTTCTCTTCTCCTGCTGGGTTTAGGCTTTATTTGCTGTTCTTTCTCCAGCTCCTTTAGGTGGAGGGTTAGGTTGTGTACTTGAGACCTTTCTTGTTTCTTGAGAAAGGCTTGTATTGCTATATACTTTCCTCTTAGGACTGCCTTTGCTGCATCCCAAAGATTTTGAACAGTTGTGTTTTCATTTTCATTGGTTTCCATGTATTTTTTTAATTCTTTTTTAATTTCCTGGTTGACCCATTCATTCTTCAGTAGGATGCTCTTTAGCCTCCATGTTTTTGAGTTCTTTCCGACTTTCCTCTTGTGATTGAGTTCTAGTTTCAAAGCATTGTGGTCTGAAAATAGGCAGGGAATGATCCCAATCTTTTGGTACCGGTTGAGACCTGATTTGTGACCTAGGATGTGATCGATTCTGGAGAATGTTCCATGGGCATTAGAGAAGAATGTGTATTCCATTGCTTTGGGATGGAAAGTTCTGAATATGTCTGTGAAGTCCATTTGGTCCAGTGTGTCATTTAAAGTCTTTATTTCCTTGTTGATCTTTTGCTTAGATGATCTGTCCATTTCAGTGATGGGGGTGTTAAAACCCCCCACTGTTATTGTATTATTGTCAATGTGTTTCTTTGCTTTTGTTATCAATTGCCTTATATAATTGGCTGCTCCCATGTTAGGGGGAAAGATATTTACAATTTTTAGATCTTCTTGTTGGATAGACCCTTTAAGTATGATGTATTGTCCTTCCTCATCTCTTATTACAGTCTTTGGTTTAAAATCTAATTTGTCTGATATAAGTATTGCTACCCCAGCTTTCTTTTGGTGTCCATTAGCATGGTAAATGGTTTTCCATGCCCTCACTTTCAATCTGGAGGTGTCTTTGGGTCTAAAATGAGTCTCTTGCAGACAGCATATCGATGGGTCTTGTTTTTTTATCCAGGCT